CAATCCCAATATTTAGAAATGTTTGTTTTAGTGAAAAACCACTATTTTGTTTGTGACTAGTTGAATTTAACATTTGCAACTCATAAAAATGTGTATATTGCAATGCATGTATCATAAAATATAATAATTACACACCGTATAATATATGCTATAATTATTTACATATAATTTTAGGATCGTCTGATGTTGGCCAAGCACCTTCCAATGCAATAATGCTAAGAGGACTGGGGTATGTTTAATCAAAAACAAAATGCTAAATTATTCCTCCCTCAAAAGGTGGAATTTACTCTTTATGTATGCAGTCTTTTACACCAAGAGTTTATAAAACATGTCATACAATTAATTCTTACAAGGTTATAGCACTAGATGGGCAGTAATATGTCTACACTACACTATCAGGGTTATTCACTAAAGAAATTAAAAGTAAATTCAAATTGAATTTTATTCTAAAGTAGCTGAATTTGAACCTTAGCTGAATTTTTAGGCCGTTAATATAAAATACTCGTTCAATTCACTTTTAATTTCGGACATTTTTCACTTCAGTTGAAACTGGCTGCTTTGTCCCTCCTCAAACTCTCAGCAGCCCTTGCTAAACTTTAAACCTATGGCGATTTTATTCTGTTCGTGGGATCTGAGCGCTGTTTGGATATACTGAGCGCTCAGATCCGAGCTATATGGGGATAGGTTAAATGTGGGGGTTCTGTATAATATAATAGGACTTATGTATTTTTATGTATTTTTACTGTTAGTGTGGAATGTAGATATTTTCTGTACCTGGAGATAATTGAGTTTACTGCAGTTCCTTAAGCCAATTATCTCCAGGATAGAGGGGAGGGATTTTTCTGTGTGTGTGGGAGTGTTATTTTGTTAATTAGTATTCCCATTGGTTTGTGTCCCTTTTGTCACAGTTTACCACCAGGTCCAGGGGGTGTGCCTCTGGCCTGAAAACTTGTATAAAAGAAAGTCCTCTTGTGATCATTAAACAGACCTGCTTTACCCCTTCATGAAGTCTTGGCTCATGTTTGGGGGATTGGGATAACTACACTCTGGGGATTGCTATATCACAATACTCCTCTGAGTTTACGCTCTTGTAAGAGCTTGTTCCTGGTTCCTGCTCTCTGGATTCTAGGAGAGGTTCACCCACTGGAAGCTGAACCCTGGTCTTGGGTCCAGAGTGGGTGGAGGACAGCGAGACCCCAACCAAGCTGCGGCGGTTCATGGGGTCTACAGTGGTTATGGTGTCGAGTGGAGTACTTGGAGCCCTCGGTGAGCACTAGGAGCATCTGTCAGCAGAAGGTACCCAGTCGGGGTGCCAGGCGTTCCCTTACATTGGTTGGCAGCGGTGGGATGGCGTCCTACTGTGAGGAGAAGCAGCTCGGAGACACAGATAACATGGAGTATATTGAGGGCAACAGTAGTATCAGTACAGCGCCCCTGGCATCAGCAGGATGGAATCAGATAGTTTTCAGACAGCGTTGCATGACGAGGTGGAGGAGGCGGCCACGGACTACAGGGATGCAGACAGAAAGGAAGTCTGGCATGATGCCCTGGAAGATGCCAGCGGCGGTGAGGTGAGAGTCTCCCCAGTGATGAGCAGCGGCTACAGAAGCGTGTGGCGATGCGGATGTATCTATTGGGAGACCAGCCCCTGGATGAGTGGGTGACAAGACTAGAGACCCTGGTATGGCGAGAGATCTGGCTAGACAACACATACCAGGCTCTCTGGTGGCATACCGTTCGACATACCCCCTGGACGGCCGAGCATGACTTACCCGAGGGGGATGATTATG